CAAATAACCTGTAATGACAAAAGTAATGACAAATACCTCTAAACATATTTAGTGTGGTGTCACTTCATATGCACATATTTTGCTAAGTAACAAATTTTACTAGCAATTTGCCTTTTATTTTAACAGTAGTACTCAACAGTTCCTTGCCACAGTTGTGTAAGCAGCAGTCAGAGCCATACTGACTGCTCTTCACAGTATTGCCAGCCTATGTACAGGGAGCAGAGGACACATGATTAGGTTACATTTCTACACCGGTGACTATAAGGCATGAGCCTGGAGCAAACAACCATGGCAGCAGGGATTTCTGCCAGAGATGCAGTCCACTAATAGCTGAAGAGCTCAGCTGCAACCTGACACACGTTTCAGAACAGATCCCTTTTCAGCTGGGGTCACCACGATGTTCACTTAGGTCAAAACATCCAAATTAAATTACAATACAGGGGATTGTGGCAAAAAATGAAGGATTAATGATTAAAAATTATAGCCCACCTCTTCAAATTGTTAACTAAATGCGCAATAAATGAGTGGGACTTTGGTTCCTATGACAACTGAAGAGACAACTACTTACTCCAGGGTCCTCTGCATAACAACAAAATTAGGTATTTTTAAACCAGACTTTCCAGGGTGCACAGACTGACATCACTACTCAGACCCACATTTGGAGACCGCTGCAGGGCACTGGCTGATCAATGAGACAGCCAAGTCGGAAACGTAGCTTCCCATGTAATTATAGAGTAAAATATTGAGCTAACACACCCCGCCTTTAAGCCGGTAAAGGCACACACCAAAACTACAAAGCACCATATAAGCAATAGTAGTGGATCACTTAGGGCAGCTACATCATCATATTATTTGTGATGCAATTTACATCACATGGTGAAATGAGTAGGAGGTGAGCCAGCACTAAGGAGAGGTGAGAAACTGAAAGAGAGAAAGAGTTCAGCATTGACACTTAAAATGTTGAGACATCATTGAGTTGATGAAATTTCAGTATCTTAAAATAGAGACTATGATTTTATATGATATATCTGTATAGTTATAATCTATGCAGATTGTATAATAAAAAAAAAAAATATATATATATATATATATATATATATATATATATATATATATATATTTGATATTACAACTAAAACTATAACAACTTTTAAAAGTCTGCCAATATCAGAGTTGAAAACTGATTACAACTTTCTACTTCGCAAACGCCACCATAAACGTCATAAAAAAAGCACCGCACTGCTGAACCATAGTGGGTTCTGCATATGGATAGCTACAGTTCAGATTTTTTTTTTGTGCATTTTCATGAAAACAAAATAAAATTTGAAAGAAGTAAGTCCAGAGCACAGGGCATGTATCGGGGTAGGGGAAAAGGGAATTTTTTTGAACAATTCCATCTTTGATGCAAGAAAGATAATGATTACTCAAACATGCATGAATCATTCTAAACATAAATTCAAGTGGATACAGGAGAACAAAAACAATTAAAACATGTTGAAAAGCACTTAAAAGTCCATAATATGTCTCCTCTAATGACAATTACATTACAATGATACAGGAAGAAAGTCAAAAGAACATCAGTGTCAGCTCCTTGAGGCAGCAGCTACATTTTCAGTCTTGTGACTTATGTTTAACGTTACGCATGCCTTGGCACAGTCACAACGAAGTGTGAAATTCTAAGATATTGTTAACTTGAACTAGGCCAAAAATGTGTACAGCTCCATTCAGTGTTTTTATCCCAACTCACTTACACCCGCAAGCTTTAACCATGTCACCAAACTGTTAGAAAAAGTATGTCAGAAGGTGCATTTTTAGTATGCCACAGAATAAATGGGGACTATTTCAAAGTGTCTTTTTTCTTTAGTAATGGGCATCATCAGGCATCAGAGTTGGATTGTTATAAACACAAAATAAGAAATTACCACACTTTCACAACAATAGCTAGGGAGGAATGGCCCAAGACTGTGCATGGATGGATGCAGTAGAAATGTTTATTTTCCATGCCAGGTGTAGGTAGGTAAAACCAGCTTTGATAACCATGAACTCAGTGAATGAATTTCAAGTGACAGGCTGGAAACAGCAAAAAAAAAAAAAAAACTCTTTGTCTTTGTTTGTCTTTGTCTGTACTAACTATTGGCAGCACAGCATTAAATGCAGTTCATGTCTACAACCTAATAAAATCAACAATGCACCAAGCATTGCAACAAAATATCTGATATCTAAACCACACTCAAAAGTCTTAAGTACACTTCTCAGGTGCTGACAAAATACACTAGACTATGCTATTTTTGCTAAATGTTTCTTTAATGGTTTGTCATAGTCTTACCAAAAGCATGTATCTTAAAAGAGTTAAATCCCTTCTGTGAATTAAGATTTCAAACTTTAGAGCATCAGGTTAAAGTCATAATTCCACGCTGATGCTTTAACAACAAGAATGAGGAGTTTAACAAAATTGGGTCTCCAAAAGCTATAATTGCCTTATACAGAAATCAACACATCCTCTAAGGTACTGCTCAGGGTTATTCAAAGTTAAGTTAGTAATAAATGAGAAGTGTTGTTGAAGATGACTGGATTGCATACCAAACTAGAGAAGAGGAGGTTAGATCAAATGTTATTTTCTGAGATGACAGTACATCCATAAGAATAGAATAGGAGGGCTTCTTCATTAGACGGCAGCTGCCAATTTAAAAGGACACAATTTAATGTGGGGAGATAGATACACTGATTTGGCATTCCCTTAAGGCACCAGTATTCCCTTTACATTTAATTCAATATAGGTTTTGGGAAGGATATTTCCCAACAGTCCTCAAATACACCTACTGTAGACAAGCCAGGAGGATGTGATCAGAGACAGGGAGACGTTCTTACAGGATTACAGACACTGGAGCCAGCAGACTATGATCAGCCTACCAGAAAGCATGAGGGTTTTACTATATCAGATAACCTGCAGACATACATAAAGAGTAGGTCAAATGCCTACTTCATGAACTCATCTGTTAGGAATGGTGAGTGAAATACTAATTGTAATATTAGCAACCAGTTAATACACGTGCACCTATATGACTTAGGCTGTAAGTAGCCTATGTCCAAGCCAGTGCTTTGGCAAAGAAGAGGTTTGTTTGTAGACATAAAGCAGGTGACTCTCACATATTTGCTGTGCATTATTAGAGGTTCTGTAGAGGGGTGTGGCAGCATGCAACGCGGGCACATCATTATGTATCATGTCCAAACTGGGAAAATACGATGCATCACACGAGTCATTTTAAATGTAACCCACGCGTAAACCTTTAGCCTCTTTGCGGTGATATGCACGAGTAAATCTCGCTAAAAAAGGGAAAAAAAACGGAACACAAAACATACAGCTGCTTTAAATCAGCGTTTTCGATTCACAGCATAACCTTTTGACTGCCAGTAGTTTTCACATGTAGACCTAGTCGGAAAGTTCATATATTTGCAGGTGGCATACACAGACATAAGCTAATGGCATCTTCTGAACATGGCGGATGGTTTTACCGTGTCCACTGCCATGTAACTTCAGCCTCACCATGAACTCTCATAAGTGGATGCCTTCTCACACCCACCAGCATAAAGCTACACTCCCATGGTACCTCTAGATGCTAATTTGTGTGGCTTTTACCCAATAACACTCACTGCCCAGACAGGCAGACCACGATGAAGTGCCGCAGCACTAAGGCTACTACTGACCGCTCTGTAAAGTCACCCAAAGTCACAGCATCGATGAAGTGAAAGCTCCACAAGTTTTATTCTCTACCATGAGTGCTGCAGCTCAACTTTGGTGGGGATTCATTCAAAAGCAACGCACAAGATGAAGCTATAGTGAGCGGCAGAGAGCTGGATAAGGGGCAATCAGACGTGCCAGAGACCACGCCACGCAATAGTCTCCCTAAGCACGTAGTTTTGGTATGAAGGTTTGGTCGGAGTCAGATGAGATTTGAGGTGTCTGCTGCAAAAAGACGATTACAATGGCAAAAACCTACCTCTAGATCGTCCACTGGGGCATTTCAAAGCTCTCCGCTCCAGAGGAGATGCACGTCGCGTTTCTCTTTACGAAAATATCCTCCACCTCCTACAAGCAGCGATATGTCCAAGTGGCACGGGCAGAGGGAGAACAGCGGCGTCGGAGGAACCTCAGTATCGTGTGTTTGTTGGTGGTGTGTGTAAATGGGGAGGGGGAGATTATCCAGGGGAGGGGGGGCAAGGAAATGCGTCATTAATAATGGACCGGTCGCATTTGTAGTCCACCATCATTCAGTGAACTGACCACATCACTCCATATAAATATGTGCTTGGGAAGCCTACAGATTAGACCAAAAATATAGGCTAGCCGCTATCCGTGAAAATCATATGGATTTGAAGCCAAACTGAAAGTGGCCATGTGTCCTTAAAGCTGCATAATGTAACTTTTCTGATGCTTGTTTATAGAAATGCAGTTGCTTTGCCTGTTATGTTCCACAATGTGGATTTATTAAATATACATTTGTAATACACATAAATTTTTTTACAAAAAAAAAAAAAAAAAAAAATGTCCTCAGAGCTGACCTGGTTCTTGGCTTAGTAGTGTCACTTGCTTGTTTCCATGGCATACTGTGGAACTTTACAGGTAAAGCAATAACATATCTCTATGGATAAGCAGGTGGTGTAGCCTCCACCAGAAAAGTTGCGTAGTGCAGTAAGTGGACCTCCAATATAGAAAACAAAAGCCTTACTCAAATTGTAATTGAATATTAATATAGTGATATCACTTAATAAATATAATAAATATTAATAAATATAATAAATAAAGAAGCATCAACACATACAGTATGAACTATTGTATATGGACTAGTGAAAGTTTGTTGTCATGGTACAGTTGGTTGAAATGTGACTCTAACTGGGTCAGTGTTTTAAAGATGCCGAGCCCCAGCCTCAGCAGGACAATCCGAGCCTAAATTCCAGACATTTAGATCCCAATCCCCTTGTTACAATTAGAACACTTTGCACAGTATTCCCACAATGACTTTATTATTTATTTATTAACATGTTATAGGGCAAACACCGAGAGCTACACCCACAAACTAATTAAACTAATATATGAATGACCCCTAGTTTGTCTGATGAAGTAAATAAACCAATAAAAAAATATATATATTTTGTAATTTGGTGTGGTGACCTTAAGTGTGATGGTTTGTTTCCCCCTTAACCCTCACGCTCTCCTCGGGGTTACATTAACTCGAAGAAAGAAAAAAATAAATAAATAAATCCTTCCCGCTCTCTTGGGGAGGGTCAATCAGACCCATACATTTATTTTCAAATTAATTCTCGCCAGGCGAGAAAATACATTTTTGGGTCTGACTAACCCGTCCCAAGAGAGCGGGGAAAAAAAAAAAAATCTTCGGCTCAATGTGACCCCGAGGAGAGCGTGAGGGTTTAAAAAGCACTGACAGAGAATATGTCTAACAGCGCCAACCATGCTTCAGATGAATTCCAACTGAAGTTTGAAAGGAAACATAATAAAAGCAATTTTTTATCAAATAATTTTGTGACTGTATTAAAAGTTAATACTTCCATCTAGTGGCCAATTGTGAGTACAACATGAAATTCAGATATTAAATTGCCATAAAGAAGAAAGAACAAAAAATAATAAGAAAAAAGGCACCATAAATACACAAATACTGTTTAAATTGTAAATGAATATTATAATACTACAAATTTTTATCTATGGGACTTTTTTTTACACATTAGATTTGGGGAAAGGGGGATTCATGTTGATTTTCTTTACAGGCCTGGTAACGATGTTCTTTTACGAGCAGCAGTCTCAATTTTCTGCACCAGCTCAACATCCCAAGGATGAGTGACAAAACTTAACACTTCCCCATGTTCTTCACCCCCAGCCCTTCCTACTCTCCCTGCTCTGTGGATGTAGTCAGCAAGGCTGTGAGGAAAGTCATAGTTGACAACTAATTTTACCTTAGATGTGTCCAAACCCCGGGAAGCAATGTCTGTGCAAATCAAGACATTTATTGTTCCCTTTTGGAACTGATGAAAGATTCCCATGCGCACAGCAGCTGCCATTTCTCCCTGCAGCCGAGTATGTCTGACTCCCATCTCCTCCAGTGAGTAACCTAGCCAGTTCACTGTGGCCGATTTATTGCAGAAAACCAACACACCACAGTTACTGTTTTCATGTACTTTCAGGGCCTGGTGGAGCTCCAAAATCTTTTCAGCACTTTTAACTTTAATAAAAGTCTGTTTAACATGAGGCATGAGAAAATGAAGCATTTTACTTTTTATGATTCTCATCTTACCAAGATCGGTCACCTGACTGAGAATTTCTTCAACACCACCAGGAAAAGTGGCCCCTATAACAAGCAACTGAGCCTTGTGTCCTAGGCCATGAGTCTCGCTTGGATCACGCGAGATGTTTGCACTTTTCAGGATGGTCTCCAACATATCAGAAAAGCTATGATCAAACATCGTATCTGCCTCATCAACAACAAAGAAACTCAGCTCACTTAAGTCAAGGCAGTGTCTCCGTAAAGCCTTCACTAGTGCCCCGGGTGTAGCCACCAAAATATCTGGAATTTGTCTCCTGAACAACATCTTGATATGTCCCACACCCCGACCGCCACCCACAGTCTTGGTCACAATCCCAAATGGCCGACACAACATCCTGGAAACAGCAGCCACTTGCTCTGCCAGCTCTCTTGATGGCACCAAAATTAGGGTGTGAATCTTGCATTCCTCAGCGTTGTTTTCTGATGTCTTTTGAGCTTGTAGTTTGTGAATAATAGGCAGAAGATAACTTAGAGTTTTGCCACTTCCCGTTTCTGCAGCACAGAGAATATTGTGACCTTTCATGACCTTTGGAATGGTCTGCAGTTGAACTTTGGTGGGGCGGGTAATGTTCAGTCGGTCCAGTACATCTACAAGGGCCTTGCATATGCTAAAGTTATTGAATTTAACGCAAGTTTTATTTTCTTCACCCTCATTCTGAGGCTCAATATACGGTGCCACTGACCTGGTTTTGTTAATAGCAAAATAATCTCCATAGGACTTATTGTGTTTCCACCCTTTTGAACATAGCACGGGTTTTTCAAATTTTCCGAAGATGTAGGCTGCAGACTGGTTCAGGGTCGGGTTTTTGCTCTGTATAAGTAACCGACCAGCTTTAACGTTATGGATGTTATTTTGGCCACCAATTACTTTCACGCTTTCAACTCGATTTTGCAAGTATTTAGGGACGCGAATCACTGGCATTTCCTCTAAATCCCTTGTTGTCTGACAAAGGCCCGACGAATGAAACCAGAAGCAAGTATACATCTTTACACACTGTGGTTGACATAGCAGGGTGAAGCTTCGGCTCCTCGACGCAGCCGACGCTAAACAGGCGACCCTCAACAATTGCATCTTGACACAGAATTAAATCCACGGTATGAAGATTCAGTAAAAATTACACAATGGACTTCGAAAGTGCTATAAATCCAAATGAGTATCATGGCAGGTATTCTTCTGACAAGCTTGCCTTTTCGCTCCGATCCTCCATGCTGTTAGGGCGACGGTTGATGACATCAGTGAAGGATCGTGAGACAAGAAATGATGACGTATTAATACGCATTTTCCAGCCCCGCCCACATCTGTGAAACAAAACTACTGCAGTGCACAGCCACTGATTTATTCAAATAACAGAGCCAACATACATGTGTTCTGACTTCATGTATGTTATTATTATTATTATTATCATTATTATTATTATATTATTATTATTATTATTATTATTATTATTATTAGTAGTAGTAGTAGTAGTAGTAGTAGTAGTAGTAGTAGTAGTAGTAGTAGTATTGATGCTTCCATTAATTAATGAGTAATGAGGCAAGAACAAAAAATAGAGTGCATTCTAATTCCAATGAGAGAGTGAAGTAAAGTGTCAAAATCTTTATGTTGGCAATATTAAATGGTCTGTGTATTTCTTGTAGTGCTTCTTTATTTATGATTACATTTTTTAATTTACATTTTTCATTTTTGCTTCTATATCTAAGAGAAGATTCTGCCCATTATTTAAAGGTCCTATATTACACACAATGGATTCTTCTGCACTGTTACCGCAAGAGAAGGTGTATGAAGTTTTAAATCACAGAGGAGCACTTCCTGTATCCCTACATGACATCACAAGGTAGAACAGTGTTTTCCAGTTGAGAAAAGAACTGAGCCTATACATTCTGGATTTCTGTGTTAAACGTGTGTAAATTAAACAAATCTCAAGGTATGTTGTTGATGAGGAAACAACATAATAACATAGATCACAGAGTAATGTTTAATGTTAGTAATGTTTAATGTTTTCTCCTTCCAATTACATTAACTTCAAATTATAAATAAGATGTTACCTCCTGCCAGTTACTGTTTAGATTTTACTTGAGTAGTACATTTCACAAATATACTTTTTTGTTTGTTTGTTTTTTACTCTACTCGAGTAATTACTTTGTACTTTGTAGGCCTATCTTCTTGGGTAATATTATTTTAAAGTTACTCTTACTTGAGTGCAATGTATGTTCCGGTGGTGGGTCCACAAGGCCTATTTGCTTATCTAGATGTTTTATTCAGTTAACTAAAATGTTCCACTGTATGGTATTAAATATCTATTTATAATAATAATAATAATAATAATAATAATAATAATAATAATAATAATAATAATAATAATAATAATAATAATAATAATAATATATATAATTATTATTATTATTATTATTATTATTATTATTATTATTATTATTATTATTATTATTATTATTATTACCCACCATACTATGGAACATAGGCAAAACAATAGGTGGTGGACAGTCACCAGAAAAGTTGCAGTACACCTTTAAATATCAGTTTCCCCATAAGCTCTTACATTTGATTGGCTATACAGTAATTTAAGATGTAGGCTATGTGCTTGATGGCTGCTAGTATTGTATCTGTATTGATTCTATGCACAGAATCCAGAGAATCAACAGTCTGACTGCAATCCAGTTTGTCAGTAATTGTAGGAGATAAGAGATAGACTGCTCTCACTTCTTGTTAAGTAGCCTATTGCAAGCAAAGGTGTTCTGTTTGCTCTTATTATTCATATTCATGAAGCTATCCAAGAAGGGCCTATGTTTTCCTTTACTTGTTGCAATGACACATACTGCTGAAATTAGAATCAGAGATGTCAAGTCTAATAGGCTGTAGAAAAAAAAAAAGACAGGATTCGTTATCTTTTAAACTGACTCAAGTCTCTTAAAACTACAGGCCACTTTGCTGTGTTTTGGAATGAGTGTACTGACAAATAGCCAGTGTGAATTGATCGTACAAGAATCCAGGGCACTCCCTCTCTGGCCTGCAAGAACTGCATGAATCCCAATTTAACAATAGAGGGCAGCAAAAAACAAGCCTTAAAATATACACTTTATGAGCACTTCTCAAGAAATTTCATTAGGCTCTTAGACTATTGCAGTGCATTGTAAAACATCCCCAAAACAGGCTGAGATCTAATCCAGTTGTGGTCTAATCCTATCAATTTGAAGGATTTATTATGTATTTACAAAGTATCAAACTGCCAATTCTACATCAAATGTATATTATTAATTCAGTCCTTTTCTGAAGAGTTGATTTAGTTTGATGGTGACATTTAGTGAACACATCATTAAGTTTCTAATGGTAAACCCTAATTCTTGAAATACACTTTTCAAACAACTCGAGACCAATGTGGGGGCTGATGCTATAGAATTTGTTGCCTCTTAACCATCAGTTTTTACACATCATAAAATCATAAACCACATCTCCTGCCTCCCACACAATTTGACGTCTTTATCTCTTCCCTTCAAAGGTCATCTGTGAAGATAACAGGCACAGGTAACCTGAATAGATCTGGTTCTGTCAAAACTACTGAATGCACAGAAAATTATAATTAATTGAAAAGCAACTGTTGAAACAAAAATTCAATTTCAATGCAGCATGACAACCATCTGAAAATGTATATGGATTTACAGGTTATATTACAATGCATATATTTTTTTTTCCTTTTTATCTTATTTTTTCATCTACATAATTGATTGAAATCACTGCCATATTAACATATTTCTATATCTGCAAATGGAATACTGAAATAATATTGATGCTTTCAGAAGCACTTGAGAACCCAGGATCTGAACGCCCACATATGCACTATAAAACAGGCTCTGAGTTGAGCATGCATCTGCAGCCGAACACGTTCTCAAGAAAATGGGCAAATGAAACATATTTGATGAGACAAGATAATATGTCTTATCAAATGTAAAATTATATTATGATAATATTATATATTATAAAATTGTAAATATATTTTATGGCATTATCTTATTTTGTATATAATATAGAAAATATAGAACATATATTGTAATTCTCTTATAATTTTCAACAACATAATAAAAAAGGAAATGCAGTAAATGTAAAAGGTTCTTTGCAGGTGTTTATTTTATTTTTTTTTAACTTGTTATCATAGTCCTTTAGTGCACTACCTTTTCTGAGTCACGGCACAAAAGATTCTGTGGCACACCACCCACTAAGACATTACCAAATTACACCATTAAAAAAAATTGTGGCATTTGGAAATGATGATTTTTTTGCTTTCTCAAATAGTTCGGAAGTTGCTCTGGACATTCCAAAATGGTAAATTATTGAATGTGTGAATTAAATTGGATTGCGCACTGGTCGAATCAGAGCCATAGCTGTTAGTACAATTATGTAGGCTATATCAAGGGATAAGTCTAATCTTTGCCAAACACTATTCAGAAAACAAAACCAAACAGTAAAACTTCATGATCAGCTCATTAAGATATGGGTGTGCAAAATGATTGATTGTGATACTAAATTTGGGGATACAATTATCAGTATGGTAGGCTGCCCTATCCAGAATTTCGTGGTATATTTTACTAATTATTTTGGACAGTGGTACAATTTTGTTGCTGCTTTAGCGGAAGAAACCTTGTTTATACAATACATTTCAAATATTCATTTTAATTAACCTTTTAATAGAGTTTTTAAGGTTATGTAGGTATTTAATAAAGGCATAGTTTGCCAAATATGTATTTGGTTCTTAAAAATAGTGCTATAATGCAGAAAATTACATTTCAAAATTGTGATCTAGTGTAATAATCCATAATTGTGCAACATATCAAATTGTGAGGAACCCTGTGATTGCCAACTCTAGCAAATACAACTGACTGTATCTAAACAGCTACAGGACTTCAGTTCAGTATTTATTAGAGGTGATTGTAAAAATAGAGTCAAACAGATACCAATTCAGTCCTATAAATTCAGAATGCTATGCAATGCTCAAAAGGAGTAAGCAAGTAAAATATGAGAGCTTAGCCCAAAAGTAGCCTAATGCAGCTGTGAACTCTTGATGCCTAACTGTTTTCAGTGTGTGGCATGTATAGTCTATCTCAAGTGAATCAATTTAGGCTTGCATGAAGCTCAAACAAGGTGCCAGAACTCTAATAAAAAAATATATAGCCAATATAATGTAAATGGTGAAAGCAGTGAACACAAGATGGAATTCTACAAGTTCTAAATGTGCTAATGTCCAAGGGGCATGAACTGAAATAACTAACTAACTAACTAACTAAATAAATAAATAAATAGCCTTATAAAGCATCATGACATGCACACAATATAGTATACTTGTATGACACATATAACTGTTACCAGGTGAACAGATGGAGGTGGTCACTTGCCTACAACACATAGATTATTATGTTCATTTCTGGAATACAAGACTTGATTAGTCATAAAAAAACAAAACAAACACAAACAAAAAACAAAATGCACTTGATCAAGTGTAATAACAGCGGCACAGTCCACATGGGGCAGGGGCGCGTGCGGTACGTATGCGTGCATGTGTTGTTGTGTCTGCTGACGTCATCGCGGGAACTGCCTTGTCACGCGGGGTTAGTAAAAGTTGGGATCGGATGGGACTGAGCTCCGGCGGAGGGAAGGCGAAACACACGGGATTAATAGTGACATAGAAGGAATGCGTTATTCCGTTTAATGAAGTTTTATTAAACTAGTGAATGGAACCAAATACTGTGTTTTTGAAAGAAATCGAGGATATTCCAGGAAGCGTGGATAGAAGGCTAAGCGACTTTCTGTGAAGTTGGTACTTCAGCACTTGGCGTTCACCGCGGGACCACTCGAGACTGACTTGAACTGTTTTGTTGCCGAAAAAGACTGAACCGCAAGTAAAATGAATCTATAAGTCTGTGATTGGTCCTCGTGGCATTTTGTAAATGTTGTGACATTGCACGGGAGAAGTCCACGGTTGAGTGGCGGGCTAAAACCCGAGCTGTCAAAACCGATGACTACTGCAAACTGCACCGGGAATGAGGAGCTGGACTTCAGGCTTATGTTTGGAGAGGACAGCCAGCCGCAGCCGCTGGGTCCCACAGGTAATGCGAGGGCTGAATGTCTTTTTCACCTTTGTTGACCATGTTGGTTGTAGGCCTAACCAATAAAACGGTTAGAAGTTGCTATTACTCTTTTGTATGATTCATTGGC